CTATCCCAGCCGAAACCAGGACACCATGGAAGGTTTCAAACCACATGGGCACCCACAGCATGTACATAAGGACGCACAAGCACAGGCTTAAGACAAAGGCTTACTCAAATATTTTTAAGACCCTTCATTGCCCCAGACAGTGGAATACATGCATCAGGAAGCATGTATGCCTTCAGCAAGACCAAAGCAAGGTTCATTTCATTCAAGGTGAAACCAACATAAACTGTGGACTTGAACAAGACTTAGTTTCAATCAAAAAGGTAAAATACCAGTTTTGGAAGGCAAAAACATATAAGTGTCTCAAGTGCTTGCTAATACAAGTACTATCCGCAAACCAGACACTCACACAGAAAACTAGGTATCAATACACAAGGGGGGAAAAAAACCCCAAAAACTTACATGAACCCCCTTCCAGTTCTCATAATTAAGTTTTTCTACTTATAGAGATTTTGTCTTAAATCCAAGCAACAGATGAGGTATTTTAAGTTACTGTAAATTGACCACAAATTTACTTGGTAGATTGGGAAGAGACGAGGGTTTTCATCTTGAAAATCCCATATAAGAGTCTCATATATTATTTGTTTCTCAAATCTGTGAGTTTCAGACTAGCCATAAATCAAAAGCTGTTGGTGGCAAAAAGTAATAAAGTATCTGTATACGGAAAATCCTTGTAGTGTACAGCACAATCCACTGAAGACCTGCCTCAAATGTTTATTTGCAAGCTAAATAAAAAAATCTGTGTGTGTGAATTCCCAAGAACAGTAAAACCAGATTTTTCCTCTTTTGCAGTATCTGCTCATCGGCTGTTAAATTTCCTATAAAATGAACTTTCATATTATGAGGTGGTCTGGGATAGTTCCTGAAGAGGTTTTTGTGGTTTTACATGCAACTTAACATGGTTTATATTGTGTCTGCATTTACAAAATAAGGCAATTTGATTCCACTCTGCTAGATGCAACCACTCCGACACCGAACATCAGGCTAGCCAAAAACATGGTTTCTTCGTTTGTAAATGTATTTATAGAGCAGTTGTACATGTGACACCAGTTGTGCTTGGTAGTCTTTTCTTACCTCTACAACCCCGTGATGAATAGATGTGTACTGCTTCTTCTTCAGCATCACCAAAGTAATGACAATCACTGTTGCTATGACAACACCTCCCACCATTAGTCCAATGATGGCACCTTTATTTGAACCCACATCTTCAGCAAAGAACACCTACAAAAGAAAAATAAAGGAAAGTGGCTAACAAAAAGCTCACTGAATATCTGGCTAACCTGTCCAGCTGCCACAGCAATATAAAGCCTATTGAAGTATCAGTAATTAAACACCACTACAAGTCATCCTAGTTATTCAAAACTGGATCACTGTACCATAAAGCTCTCATAGTTGGAGAAGAGCAATTTGGGAAATCTGTATTGCCTGTGGTGTAGCAGTGCTGTGGCTAAGGGGAAGACTAATTTCCATGTTTCTCCTTCACACAGGTCTTAGATAGCTGCTGCTTTTTTTTCTTGGGTAAGCGAGTCAAGCTAATTGCAAAATGACTGATAAGCTTGTAGAGGAGTAACGAGGAGCATATACATTTCTTTATTTTTAGAATGGTAATACTGAAAGTGTTCATAAATCTACATCTGTGTGGCTTGTTCAGACTACAATGCATTTCTTTGATAAAAGAGTAGTGAAGACCTGTAGGACAATAGTGAAACTTGCACACAACCAGTTGGGAGAAAATTCTCGCACCAAAGAGACAAGAGTCCAACAAAAACAAGCATGCTGATTTAAGTGACCACCAAAGGATGCTTCAAGATTTTGCAGAGTAAAGGAAGAATGAGCTATACCTGGATGATGCCGATACTCATATGAGACCTAGACAACGTAACAGTTGTGTGAAAAGCAGAGAAGATCCACTTGAATTATATGTACTGATAAGGCAAAACAGTGGACAGCAAGATGCTTTACTATGCATTTAATAAGATTGGCTTTTAGCAACAGGAGCAGGTATGAAAAGTGGGTGATTGTTTTCACTGTCCTGTTTTGTATTCAAGAAATATACCAGATTATTTTACATCTATGCATATTTTACAAACTTTTTGTCTGCTTGTCAATAGCGGGCTTTTATTATTATTATTTTTAACCAAAATGGGCAAAAAGGATTAGAGAATAAATTACATTCACAGAATTGTAAGACTGCCTCGCTCTGAAAAACTAAATACTTTGACAAGTATTTAACAAAAATGCAGAGGGAAGCAGGAAACCAGCTGAGAATTATAATGAGCTGTGTAACATTTGCACTCTTTAAGAAACACAATGTTCCTCAGAGAGGTATTAAAGCATGCAGTATAAATATTTATATTGTTCCTAGTCATAAGCAAGAAATGTGTTTAAACAAAGTTAAGAATTCACTAGAAAATACACACAATGGACAGTGTTGGCATAAGCTGATGTGAAGTTAATAATTTCTTCTGTCAATTTTACCTGCCCAGGACTGAAATTCTGTTGCCATACTATTTCGCAGCACTGTGAAATGCCCCAGCTAATATACATGTGCAACAGAGGAAGGCCTTAAGCACTCTGAGCCATGAAAATCAACTTAATGTACAGTTAAAATGTGAACACTCATAAAGAAGAAAATAACTGCAATTTCAGGTCAATTCGGAAGTTTGCGCGTAAAATACAATGCGCAGTTGAATTCAAAGCAATATCCTAAGGAGACTGTTTCAGTAAATCCTAGCAGGGCACAGAAGAAGAAAAACACAGACGAAAGTATTTTCTTCTTACTGCTTTTGAATTAAAGCTAACGGAGAAGGGCATCGGCGAGGATATGGCATGCGGTAAACAAGCAATGCCCTGTAAGGCATCAGTCCAGTACTTTCTCAGCAATACTGGTCTCCTTGCTCAGTCTCAATTGAAAAGATAACCTAGAGGACAGCTTACTAATTTTTAAATAACGGTTGTACTTATCAGTAAGAAGTATGGCATAAAATGCTTTAAAAAGCTGGAAAGGTCCCATTTTAAGCATGACAGAGATTACCCAAGTGCAGGGATTGCAATGCAAGTCCTATCAGCCATCACGATAAGGGTAGTTTGCACCAAACTACTTGGGATGGTATGAAACCACTTCAACATTAAAGGCTGCTGCTGGGAAGTGCACGTGACACAGGATCAATAACTACCGTGTCTAAAACACGTTCCTGCAAGTTCCTTCCCTTCAGTAAACTCGCATGGGTTTACTCCATCAGGATATTTAACCCATCTGAGCTAAGCATGTCAGAATTTCCCAAATTAGTGCTAATGCATTTTGGATTAGCTCGTCAAACTGGGAATTCTCAGTTCTTGGCATCAAAGAGATGGCAGAATATCTTTTCACATGGTGATTACCTAGTTCAAATGCAAATTTGAGTTCCATGTTAATTTTAATTTTCAGCACTACTTAGCTTTAAGAATATATTAAGAAAAAAAGCTTTCAAGTTTAATATCAGGATATTGAAAGTCACAGAACTGAAATCTCATCATGTAATATACCTTCACAAAAGAGGAAGCAGAAAAGGTTTATAGTCAACACTGCTGTATGGGTTCTTTATTACTTATTAAGGGACTGAAAAAAGCTTTTAGAAGATGCTTCGTTCTTTCTTACATTGCTTTTGGTTGTTATTTTTGTGTTCATAAGAAGCACAGTTCAAATGGGGAACAGTATTTTGCTCCTACCTGCCCTTCACCTGTTAATAATTTAATATACCTTAAGGAACAAAACACACAGATACAGCCAAGTACAAATTAAAATTAAGGCCAGTGGAGAACCTCCTCTTATCCCAAGCAGGCAATCTTGTGAAAGGTTATGCTCCATGGAGTTCAGCCTCCTTCATGTACCACCACCATCTGTTTTGACAGAAAAGGAATCTATTCCTGAAACGGTGTCACTCTATTTCTTGCTGCACCATGCTGAGTGTCTCCATCAAACATTTTTTTTCTTCTTTTTTAAACTTACTTATCATTTTCTTTCCTCTGTATCCCTTCTCTTTAAAAGTTATGTGACCATGACAGATGGATTGTGAGACAAGTATTGCCCATATGACCACATCCAGTCACGTGGCACTGCAAGGGCAGGAGCTGTCAGAATTTCCTCTCATGTGAGACTTGACGGCTTTCCATCCTCTCTGCTGAAATTATTCCAGGTTTACTCTCATTTAAGAGAGAACCAGAAAAATCATAATCTCTTCACATGAAAACTTTTTATTGGCACTTTCAGCATCCACATCACTCAGGGGAAACATGGCCATAGCTGACCCACTAGTTCAAGATTGAATCAGCAACAAAAAATGCACGTGTGGAAAGCACTGTTTGTTCACTCACCAGCTTTTGATGATGAACTTCATATCCTGAGTCATGCCGGAACTCCGCATCCATCTTCACTTCGGATATCTCTTCTGTTTTAACATTGGTCAACCCGGAACCTGCATTGCACCGCAACGACAATTCATTAAAGTCATCGACTCAATTATGCTCTGCTTACCTCCACTATTACAAGAGCAGAAGGCAATGGTATCATTCACGCGGAGGAGGTGTGATGCAACGTGAAAGGGAACTGGGAGGAAAGTGAGGTACATTTGATGTTTCAGTCCCACTGAGGTGACACAGAATGAGCTGGTAAAATTTCTCCTCTGTTAAACGTTCCTTAATCCACTGCAGCTATGTCGGTTCAAGCATCAAAGGCTTTCAGCATGAAACACCTCAAGAATTAAGCTGCGAGGGACCAACATCGGTCTCCTGAATTGACTCACAGGATGCAGACAGATCTGCTCTGACAGCCTCTTTAGCAATGTCAAGAAAATTTGGTGTTTAGGCCGAATCTTCCTCCTCCCTAAGCTCAGGCTGCTGTGAGGAAAAAACACATACCCATGGTGTGAGGTGGGGAACCCCAGATATTACATTTTCTTGCTTCCTGTGAGGTTGTACCTTTTACACAAACATGCACAAATAAGAGTTATTAAAGTGTTCGTAAAGTTTACACACTTATTTGTTTTCATATTTCAGACTGCTCAGAATTACAACGATTCAAATCTTGACTTCTGCCTGAGAGATTAGCAACATACAGTAAAAGCAAGTAAGCAAAACTTGCAGCAATTTTAATTGTAGATATTTTGCAGTCCTGTTCTCCCCTTATGGGTGCGTAGGGTAGATACTGCACTTGTCTAACTGGAAAGGCGGCCAGGATTTCCTCCTGGAAAATAGCCTCAGGAGAATGAGCCAGACTTACAACAGCTGAGCAGTGCATGCTATATATGTATCTATGAAATGTTTTGTCCTGAAAAGCTGTCTCTGGCTTATAGAGAACATATGGGTATTCATGTAGCTGGTTATTTTCCTTCTCAGTACCAACTGACTGACGTTTATATTTCTTGGAGGTACAAACACTGCAGAAGCATGGTGTTTATGAGCAGTTATTTCCTCACCCTATCTAATGCAATAAGAACAAACTGGTTCATATTCCTTGTCTATATTTATTTTAACATTTTATCACTCCAACTCCTCTCCCAAGCCTTCATCCTGATTCTTAGTATTTTGGGCTGACTTTAAGCTCTGATGCAGAGGAAGAACCTCTCCAAAAATTCTCAACACTACTGACTGCTCTTGTGCTCCACCATCTCTCAGGACTCTCAATAAATTCTTGGACTTCCATGTGCCAATGAGCTCCACAGTCTACAGTAGCACTCAATGCAAGAATTATTGCCCTTTTATTGCCTTTGAATGTGCAATTTCTTTTTTCATTAAATGCTGATTTATTTTTGCATTATGAGTCAGCAAGAACAGACCTTCCCAAGAACTTCTCTGGACTGTACAGACAATCCCATTCTAAGGTTCTGATCTTTCTTTTTACAGTAAACCATGCAAAGGAGAGAACAAGAATCCTCTTCACGCAGTGAAGTATTTATGGTTATTTTCTTGAACAGTCTGACTGCCCCATAAATTCTACCTTAGTGTCTTTTTTTCAAGGAATAAAGCACTTAAAGATCTCAAATTTCTTTATTTAGCATCTTTTTTGATGCCACATTACAGTACTGACAGGAGTATATTATGACATTCTATACGAGAGACTGTTTCTATACGCAAGAACCGTAAGGTGCTTAAGGAACTGCAGTTTGAAAACAAACCATGATGTTTTGTCAACGAATGCAGGAGGAAACGGAGATGAAGGAAATAAAACCCACATGGTACCTGAAAAGAGGTTTAACTTTTTATCTTTGAAGCAGCTGTGGTTAGTTTTCCAAACTAAAATAACAATACAATTTACTCTCCTTTGCGCATGATCTCAAAATAGCCCCTACACCTGCATCAATGGGAAGCAAAGAAAATCAGAACATGTATCTGGCTGCACAGAGGCTTGCCTTTTCAAACCCCCTGCCTTTTTGTTTTTAGGATTAAAAGGGGATGGGGGAAAAATCAACAGCGGAATAGCAGAGCTTCACATAGATTAAATAGCTGAGGGGGAAAGGACTTTCCCAGGACTTGATTCACTGCCCCAGCTGTAGCGGCTGAAGAGGCGGCAGGCTCCCAGCTGCTGAGCACTGTCCACAGCCACACTTGCTGCCCCTTAGACACACTGGCAAAAGCACCACGTGAAAACTTCCCCAAGGAAAGGGACTGGGAACTCTACTCCTACAGCTGGCAAATTCACTGGAGCTATAAATATTGATTAGAACATATCCATACATATATGAGATACATCCGTGAAGAATCAACTTGTCATTTGTTGAGGGAAATCCTGCCTCCCAAACTTCTTAGAGGTCACTGGAAGAGTTAGGATGCACATGGGAAACAGTGATTCAGCTTGGAGTGAATCTGGATTTCCAAAAAGCCTTTGAGAAGGTCCCCGATCAAAGCTCTGGCAGAAGCTAAGATGGCAAGGATTAAGAGGGGAAGTCCTACATGACTTTCCATAATTGATTAAAAGATAGGAAATGAAGTGTAAATACACAGCCATTTTTCACAATGGAGGAAGGTTACCAGCAGGGTCCCACAAGGATCTGTGCTGTGCTGTTTGTAAAGTGATCTGGATAAGGGAGTGGACAGTGACGTGACAAAGTTTACTGACAAAATATAAAAGAAAAAAAGAGGATAGTCAAAGTAAAACCAGCTGCAAAGAACTGCAGAAGGATATTACAAATTCTGAGTGCACAATAAAAGGGAAATGGTATTCAATGTTGATATAATGTAAAGTGGTGCTGACAGGGACACACAGCCCTAACTATACATACACAACAATAGGCTCTAAATTAGCTCTGTTCCACCCAGGACAGAGACCTTGCAGTCACTGCGGATAACTCTCTGTGGGCAGTTGGCTCAGTAGCAGTCAAAAAGGCAAAGAGAAAGCTAGGAGTAATTATGAAGGAATAGAGAAAACAGAAAACATCGTTACATTGCTGTATAAATGATGCATCCTCATTTTAAATCTGGCTATCCGTTCTGGTCATTCCACCTCAAACGAAGGCAGAAGCTAGACTAGAAAAGATACAAAGCAGGGAGAGACAGACGATAACTGGTATGGAATGGTTTCTGTACAAGAAGGACTAGACAAATTGGCAATCTTCAGACTGGAAGAGACAACCAAGGGGGAACACTACGGAGGTTTATACGACTGTGAATGACAAGGAGAAAGTCTACAGGAAACGGTTATTCATTATTTCTCCTAAGAAAGTACAGGACACCAACATGGCTAGGACACAGCAGATTAAAAGCTAACTCAAGAAAGCGTATATTGGCACAATGCAAAATTGGACTGTGGAACTCATTGGCACAAATCATAAGGATGTTCAAAATACAAATGAACAAATGCAAAGAAGAAAGGTTCATCCAGGGTTGCTAAACACAACGGTGAAAATACAATTTTCAGTCCTGGAAGTCTATCAAATGCTGGCTGCCAAAAGCTCAGTGGATGTGCCAGGAGTAAAAGGCAGAGGTGAAGCCTGCAAGTTATCCTGTCTGCACCACTGCTAGAGGCAGGATAATGGGCTTGGGTACTTCTGCTCTTGGGCTCTGACCACTTTTAGTGAAAACAAGCTACGATAGCTTAGACTGTGGGTCTTTGTTAGCTTTAGTTAAATAGAGCCAAATGCCACAGGCAGGAGTTACAGCAGCATTTCAGGGGGCAGAACAGGTCAGGAGCCTTCACATCAATGAGTGATAGAGGGTGATAAGCTCACCAGTAGTCTCAGCTGCTGGAAAAACGCAGGCTCAGGCTTCCCTAAAGCCACATTTCTTTGAGGGTTCCCTTCCCTCCTCCCATTCCCATCAAACAGTAGCACAAGAGCTGTACTTCCAGCATGCAGCAAGTTAAACAATCTTTTGCCTTGAGATTGGGCAGAAATTTTTTGCTTTGGGGCATATGACCAAGCTCTGGTGGTCAACTTGGCCTTATTCACCAATCCACAAAAATGCCATGGAATCTGAACACAAAGTAGGACCTGATATTAGGAAGTTAATGACGTTATCGACTTACTAAAACTTGTCTTTGGCAGCTAGCACAGGAAAAAGGTCAGAAATAGAAAAATCTTCAGTTGCACTAACAAACCTGATAGCAATTTTTTCCTTCCTCTTATCTGCCTTAGAAGTGAGGAAAAAGACTTTTAAAAGTACGACTAGGGTAAACTGGTGGTCTTCTGCAAATAATTGATTACACAGTAAGAGAAGCATGACTCTGCACTGAAATCAATTAAATACCTGGCATGAGACAAAAATATGTATGGGGTTATATATGCCTTTCCACCATGTTACATTATAGAATTTAGACTTTCTATTTAACAGACTTCTCTTTCTTTCCAGTTCATTCACTTTCCTGTCCTGGTGACTACATATTTAGACTTATGTGCTAAAATTAAAGATTTATTTTTCAAAGGCAGTAACTGAAGAAGGAAAATCTTAAGGGTCTTTCTAGAACTTTTATCAAAGGTGTGTGAATCAGGTAAGATGCAAACAGCTAAGGGCTGCCTAACACCACTCTACTCTTGCATTGAAGACAAGCATACGAAGAAAAGTTAACTATAGGACAAGAACTTTAATTCTGACACAAAATGATGTTTTTTCACTACCGTGTCTAAAATACACAACCCAAACACAAAAGCCAATGTAAAAGAAGAAAAGTGAGAGCAACAGCCTCACTGCAAATTCACAAATAATGATAATTATTGGTGCTTTTTCTTCTGAATTACATACTATCTTTAGGGAGTTGCATTCCTAATTACTTCAATTAAAAAATGCTACAATTCAGCTGGTAAATATATTAACTTGTAACTCCTCAGAAAAACTGACAAAACTATTTAGCCATCAAAAACATGGGCTTAAAAGCATCTAGTAAAATCCAACAAAATGAGCTATCTATGATGGACTTTTAATTATATTGCTGTTAATTAGCAATGTTAACTACTTTTTTACATACATGTGTACACATGCACGCATG